TATCCTTTTATATCTATCAGTCACTGCTTTCTTTCTCTTCTTAAATCCTGTGTCTGTCTTGATAAAAGTTTATCCATTTCGGGGTTAGTTTCAAGTCTTCTCATCTATTATTCTGCTTTCTCTCTTCTGACCTTGTTCTTTCTAGTATCTGGTTCTTTGGTCTTTAGAAATAAACAGTCTCAGTTTTTACACGATTAACAGTCGAAGTGCGGCCGCCGAATAGTTCATGTCTGGCAAGAAAACCGAAGGCGCACCTCTAACTCAGACTACCGACGATTCTACCTCAAAGAACCAGAATACTGCTATGACGACTACTATGGACGCCATTCAGTCATCTGTCCTTAAAACGGTCATCGAGGGAATACCCCTGCTCACAATGGATAACTACACCCACTGGAGACGACGAGTCTTCAATTTCCTGGATGTCGTTAAACTCAGGGAGCCTCTGACTACGGATACCAAGAAGTTAACGGACGACGAAAATCATTTCTTAAAAGCTATATTAGTCGCTAAGCTCGAATCGTCTGTCCAAGCTAACGTGATCGACTCCAACAACAAGAATCAATCTAAGTTGATCTGGAAATCAATCGTCGAATTCTTCGCTTCTAATCAAGCCTCCAACAAGGCCCGAGTCTTTCAATCTTTTCTTCGTTCTCCGTACACTCCGAACGACATTCCCGGATTCATCACAACGATGAAAACGTTTCAGTCACAACTCATCGAAGTCGGCTGGAACTTTTCTGACGATGCGATTGGCCATATGGTCATTCACAAATTTCCGAGCACCATGGACGACATTGTGAATCAAATCACTCACTCCGACAAAGAACCCACCATCGACGTTGTCTTTGAGCATCTCAGAGTTCACGAACACAATACCGAGATCAGAGGCAGTGGCAATGGAACGAAGTCCAACCCCATTACTCTCTTCACCGACGCCTCGAAGAAGTGTCGCACAGGTGCTCACAACACCTTAGCAAATCACCCAGCCTCCAACTGCTGGTTTGTGTATCCGGAGAAGCGTCCCGCTCATCTTCAAAACAGAACCGCTCCGAAGATCGAATCATCCGTCAGTAGCTTTCACTCATCCGCTTCTCAGTCACCTCATCTCTTCATCTTGGATTCGGGATCCTCAGCTCACATGACTTCAAAATCACATCTCTTTCATACTCTAGAACTCAAAGAACTAGGATGCGTACAAACTAGTTCGGGTCTCGATCAACTTAAAATCAAAGGCATCGGATCGATACGATTGAAGAACTCGTTTGGGGAAATCTTTCTCAATCATGTTTTGTACATCCCTGATCTAGTTGTAAACCTGCTCTCTGTTTGATGTTTGATTCTAGAAGACTACACTGTGCAATTTCATAAGAACTCTTTTGAAATCCTCAAAGATGATGAAATAAAGATGACTGGGAACTACATTGGTAATCTACCGAGCCTCGATTTTGAGAACCTTGAGCACTCAAGTCATTTGTCATCGGCCGAATTCATTCACAAATCTCTAGGCCATGTCAGCTATCACAGACTGAGGAAGAAACTTGGAATACCTCTCAAGATAATAAGCAACTGCGAGTCCTGTGCCGTTGCCAAAATCACCAAGGCGTCATTCAAATCAGTCCACAAACCGGCTTCTAAGCCATTTGAAGAACTCCACCTTGATCTCATAGGTCCTATATGGCCCCCATCTCATGAGGGGCACAAATACATCCTAACTGTTGTCGATAGCTGTACAAGGTTCTGCGCCGCGATTCCGATTAAACTCAAGAGTGACGTAACAGAGACTCTTTCATTCCTGATGGACATTGAAGCCAAGCGATTCGGTTATTATCCGTCAACTCTACACTCTGATAGAGGATCGGAATTCATGAACTCCTGTTTGAGTGACTTCTGCACCTCTCACCTCATCAAACAACGGACATCAGACGCGTATACTCCCCAACAAAATGGGCTAGCCGAACGGTTCAACAGGACAATACTAGAGTCTATGAGAACTATACTTGAAGATTCTGGTATTGAACGGAAATACTGGAATGAAATAGCCAAAGTCAGCTCTCTGACTCTCAATCAGATTCCCTCTCACCGATCAAAAAAGGCTCCGTTTGAACTTTTTAAGAATCGATCACTTCCTATCAGCTACTTCCATCCTCTTGGAAATCGAGTATCATTTCTCATTCAACCTGAACAATCATTCGCCAAGCTGAAACCTAAAGGAAAACTTGGAAGACTTATTGGGTACAATGACGAAATAAGGTCCTACCGCATACTATCAGATGAAGGAAAAATTGTTGACACAAAGAATGTACAGTTTCTTGAGTACTCTCCTCCTCCAATCAAAACTTCAGATTGGGATCTCTCCTTTGAACCTACTCCTATACCAGCTGAAAGTGACTGTGAGGAGAATGAAGAAGTAAGGGAGGAGATAGACACTTCTGACGAAAGTGAAGAAGAAATAGCCGCAAGTCTGAATCCCGAACCAAGCACCGGCAGAATCCTGCGAGAGCGGACGTCTCAGATCAAACCTGTCAAATATTCGTATCTCTCGACCGATCCGTCTTCTTTCAAAAATGCCTTGAAATCTCTGGAAAAAGAAAAGTGGCTCAAGGCTGCTGAAGAAGAACTATCTAATATTGAACATCATCAAGTATGGGAAGACATGTTTGATACCCCTGACTCATTCTTACGGACTCTGTGGATTTTCAAGACTAAA